TGCCTTGAGACTTGTGCCTAACTTGTCCAGCTGCTGACTGTACCTTAACATAAGGACCTCTGCTTCAGAGTAGGAAAGGAGCCTATGGGTTTCATTTAGAAAGGTCTCTGGGTGGGGGCGGGTGGGGAGGTGTGTGTGTCCCTGACCCTGCCCCCATGAGTAACTTGTCCCTGCTCTGCCTTGTTCCCAGGCACAGTTCGTGATTGTCTCTGTCCACATCTCTCAGTATTACTTCATGCCCAGCTGCCAGTACCAGTTCCCCATCTTCGTCCACCTCATCTGGATTTATGGGACCATCTTCTTCATTCTCTTCTCCAACTTCTGGTACCAGTCCTACACCAAGGGCAAACGGTTGCCCAGGGTGGCTCAGCAAGCAGCCCAGCACAATGGTAGCAGCATCCATGAGAATGGCACTGTCACCAACGGCAAGGTCAAAGCCAACTAGAGGGCAAGGCCCTCCCAGAGCCAATGAGAGCCCCGGGGCAGAGGCAGCTGGGACCTGTTCCCCTGCTCCTGGGTGCCACTAGCCAAGTCAAGTGCCTACAGACTGTTGTACCCCTGTGCCCAGCCCTGCTGTCCTCTGTCTGCATGCCCAGCCCCTCTGCTCTGAGCAGCCATGGGCAACTTCTCCTTGGAGGGCTTGTGCTGTTTCTCAGTGTTGCGGAGCAGAGAGGCAGCTGCCTGCATCACAGCTGTGGGGCTGCAGTCCCATTCCAGTGTTTCCAAAGGAACTTCCCCAAGTGCCTACATCTGGCCCTTCTGCCTGGGGGCCATTTCCTTCTGAGTAGGACCAAAAGAAGAGACTGCTCCCTGTCCTGGTGCCCTCTCCTCTTCCCTGTCTCATGAGAGCCTGTGTGGATGAGCAGGCTTGTCCCTGGCTGCTTGCTGCTGCCAGCTCCAGTGTGAGTGCTCCTGCTCTACTGTGCCTTGTGCCACTTTGTTCCATGCCACAGTGCTGCATGTCCCTTCTGATCCCTGTGTGCCCAGGGTGGAAGATCCTGCCCTGATGTAGCTGTGCTTAGGTGTAGCTGTGGAGAATGTAGGGGTGGTGTATATGGGACTTGAGGGCCCAGACCTGCCCAGTACAGTACACACGTGCCCCATGCCTGCTATGTAGCAGGGGTTGTGACAGCCTGAAATGCCTCTCCCACATGCTAAGCCCGGGTTGCCTTGCCTTTCTGTGCCTGAGCTGGGTGCCCAGTGTGTGCTTCAGCCACACTTACCTGATCCTGTGTGGCAGCTGGTGCCTTGCTCCAGAGTGGGGGAGGCCAAGCTCAGCCTTGCCCTGGACCACTTCCATTCCTGCCATCTCAAGACTTGAGCAATAATTGCCTCTAGAATCAGCTCTTGGGCTTTCCTGCTTGGGACCAGCTCTGCTCTGGCCCAGTGTGAGCACAGCAGTGGATGGTTGTAGCCTGCCCTGCTGTGGTATATGTGAGCACCTCTTGCCCCTGTGCATCTGGAGGTGTACCCTGCCCCCACCAGCAGGGCAGTGCAGCAGCTCTCCTGGGCCTAGTGCTCATCACCTGCTCAGGCTGTAACCAAAACTGTGCTGATGGCCTTGAGATTGAGGTGAAGGAGCCAGGCCCTATCAGATTGGGCTGCTCTTCTATCACAAATAAACAGACAGAAGGAGAAGTGGCTCAGCCCTTTTGTTTTCCTGGCTTGCTGTGCTCAGAAGCTGTTCCAGGTGCTTGGTTCTGCCCAGTGGGGTTGAGGCAGGGCTGGGAGCAGCAGCTGGCATAGCAGGTTTGTGTGTTGGGGGGAGAGTGCGATAGAGATGATGAAGCAGATGGCAGATTGTTTCAAAGTGTTGTGGTAGAGCAGTACTCATGGCAGGAAATGTGTCAAAGCTCCTGTTGTGAAAGTGGCTCCACCCTGTCAAAGAATGGCTAGGGTGTGTGCTGGGACCTGGGCAGCGGCCCAGGAGGAGCTGCTGCTTTTCAGACATGCTGGGGAGCTGAGGTGTGGTGGAATGGGGAATGAAGACCCTGGAACCCCAGGGAAACAGCAGTCTGCCTTCTGCATCTGCTGAAGCCAAAGCTGCTGCCAGCTGTGATGGCCCCTGCACTGTGGATCTATGCAGAATGTAGCTCAGGTTTGTCAGAGGGAGGTCTATGTTCCTGCTGTCTTCCTCTTGCTACAGCAGAGCACCTTGCCTGGCTGGGCTCTGTTGCCTCTACCACCCGAGACAGTCTGGTTTCCCTCCAGTGCTGCTGGGGTGTAGTGCTGCTGGGGTGTAGTGCTGCCTTCCCCATTACGTGAGTGAGAGGCTAGCCTAGGTGCTGAGTCAAGCTTGGGCAGAGGGGTGGGTAGCTTGTGGCCAGGAGGAAAGCTGAGTTTCACTAGAGGGTTGCTGGGGTTGTGGGGAGGGCTTTAGTGGTTGTCCAGCCAAAACAAGCCTTAGAGCAGCGCTGGATGCAAGGGAAAGCTCTGCTGACTCTGCCTGAGCTACTGTACACCTTAAAGTCATGCTCTGCAACATAGGAGAACATCAACTGACCTGATCTGGTGTGATCAATAAGCCAAACTGCATGTGGGCATCAGTCCATTTTACAGGGCTCAGTGCCCTTGTATGTATGTGTCTGGCTGCTGCACTGTGTAGTGCTGTCTCAATTGTTGCTGCTCCTCTGGGCAAGAACTGGCAGGAGAGCTGGTTCTGGTCCCTGCTGAAGGGGTGTGTAACCCTAGTTTGGTGCTCAGAAGCCCTCACTTCAGGAGCTGTAGGTGACAGTCCAGCTGAAGATGCAGCTTTTCCCATCAAGCCTCCTTTCTCCTCCCTTAGCTGGCTTTTGGTAAACACAGGCCTGTCTCTACTTTTGCCCAAAATAGTAAAGATACTTTTAAACTACTTATGCTTGGCCTTTTAAAAGGGGCTGTTCCCTGCATATGTTCTGCTTTCCCTTCCTCCAATTGTTCCTGTTAGCTGAGATCATTCCATGGGCTGGCTGTGGCCCTTGGTCATTTACATGCTGTCACGGTCAGTCAGGGCTGTTGCTCTGAACTGAATCCACACCGTATATGGCAGCATTTCCTGGGCCTGCTGGATCAGAGCCCAGCTCTTTCCTCTGCTCCTCCTTGCTCCAGGGCCAAAGGAAGACACTGCAATACCATCACATTCTAGTAATGGTCAGGGAATTTCAAGGGGTATATAGTGCACAGCTTCTGGGGGTGGGTATGTGCTAAGGAGAGAGGCAAGACAAGCTCTGAGAAAGGTGAACTGCTTTCTTACACAGGAGAAACTACACAATCTTTCAGGATAAAAGCCTTTCTTGCAGGTTCATTGTAGCTTGGATCCTTGCAGGGGTGTGGGGCAGGGCTTCTACAACAGCAGCAGAGCTCTGGGGAAGAGCCTAACCTTGCATATAAGGCTCTGCCCCCTTCCCAGTTAGGGTCAGCTGGTGCCTTAGGCTTTGCTTCAGTAGAACTGCCTTTTTCTCCCTTGGACTTCCCTTTTGAAGGCTCCCTCTGGGTTTTAAAGCTCAGGAGGCAGAGCAGGAGCTTGGTCCCAAGTACAGCATGGTACTGTGCTGAGGGGAAGGTGAAAGCAGTTAATAATAATCCACCCTCAGCTAATCACAGCATAGGCTTTGTAGAGCTTCTTTGCCCAGGCTGAGGTGCTAATCAGCTGTGCAGTGTCCCCAGCAGCCCCTGATGCAGCTGAAGGACAGGGTGGATGTGTCTGTTGCAGCCCCACAAACTCATTCACCATGGCTCCAACATGTAGAGATGCATGGCTGCAGTTGGCTGTGCTGGCTTTTGCTCAGTTAAAGGCTCAAATATGCTTCCACCAGCATAGCTGAGCCTGGAAAGAATGCATTTCTCCAAGTGCTGAGGAGTCAAGCTCTACTAAACATCTGCATGCTTCCCTGCATGCAGCCTCAGCATGGCACCAGGGCTTCCTCTCAGCAGAAAGGCAGGACAGGGATCAGGGCTGCTGGAACAACATATGACTGAGGGCCACACACTGTTTGGGAGCATCTTGCTTGACAGCGAGGCTGGCTGTGGCAATGTAAGCTAACCTTCTGGTTTGCATCAGCCTTTAATGCTGCTGCCAGTCCTTTGGGGTGATTGCAGCTCTTGCTGTATGTTTATAGCTCCCACCCCTCCTTTTTTTTTTTTCCCCAGTAGCATTTGGCTCTTAAACTCAGCAGTAAACTTGCTGCAAAGGCAGCTATTCCACCCAAGCACACTGGCTGCAGCACTGAAGCTGTGTGTAGCAGAACAAGACTTAACTGCTGTGTGCAGGTGACACTGCAGCTCAGGCTGCCAAAAACAACTCCTGAGCCTGCTCTGGCACAGGTAATCACTGCTGTTAGTGACTGCAGAGGCACAGTAAGGCCCAGCTGGCCAGGAGGTAGGACACTGACATTTTGTACTTCCAGTTCAGGCTTGATCCTCCCCACCAAAGCCAGCAGCAGCTGGGCAAAGGGCCCTCTCCCTTAGGCCCGGGTCAGTTCAGAGCTGCTTCACTGCTCTGTGGAAGCTGGGGCCAGTCAGGGGTACTTCGTTCTGGCCCCACTGCAGTTAACACACTATGATGAGTGATGGAGGAGTAGGAAGTCACCCTAGCTACAGTTTCCCCCTGTGGCAAAGCTGCTATGCTTGTAGTCAGCATTGTTGTGTATAGCAGGAGTCATACCTGGTTTAGCCATTGCACAGCATCCTCCTTCTCCCAGGACTTCAGGGTTCCTGCAAACTGGCCCTAAAGAACTCCATCCCTTGCCCAGATTGCAAACCTCAGTTCTTTGAGCCATGGCCTTGTCTTCCATCAGACTCCATAAATACAAAAAAAGGCAAACTAGAGCAGTTTATTAACTTTTAAAATACTGTACAACAAGCTAAGCTTCCCCTATCCCCACAACAGCCCTGTGTACTCAGCGGATGCCCTGGTGAATGATGCTGCTTTTGGCACTGTTTGCCTTTTCTTTCTCTTTCTTCTTTATGGGGTCCATCTCAAAACAGCGCCAGAGCCGCAGTGTTTCATCAGCAGCTGCTGAGGCCACTGTTGCACCATCAGGGCTCATAGTCAGGTTCAAGACTCTGGCAGTGTGACCTGAGGAGGAGGAGGTGGCATGCAGTCAGGGCTGGGCTGATCACCACATTACTCCCCACCAGCTTGCATAGCCATCTCCACGCTACAGCAGCATGAATTCACACCCCAGGCATACAACAGTGTTTCTTCAGCTGCTCCCTCTAGTAGCATGCTGCTGGACACCATTCTGCATCAGTGATGCTTCAGGATGCTGGGGAGGGACTCTTCATTAGGGACTCTAGTGGTAGGACAAGGGGTAATGGCTTTAAACTTAAACAGGGGAACTTTAGGTTAGATATAAGGAAGAAGTTCTTCACAGTGAGGGTGGTGAGGCACTGGAATAGGTTGCCCAAGGAAGTTGTGAATGCTCCAGCCCTGGAGGTGTTCAAGGCCAGGCTGGACAGAGCCTTGGGAGACATAGTTTAGTGTGTGGTGTCCCTGCTCATGGCAGGGGGGTTGGAACTAGATGATCTTAAGGTCCTTTCCAGCCCTAACTATTCTATGATTCTATGGGTCTGCTCTAACCAAGGACTAGACCTGCCTTCAGCTTCTACCAGCCATCCCCCCTGCCAAAGGCAGAGGGCCCAGCTCACCTCGCAGCTCAGTGACCTTGGCCATTGTTGGATACTTCCATATAACCAGCTGATTCTGTGCAAAGCCATGGCCTGAAATGAACTCTTTGTAGTTTGTTGACCACAGGATAGAACAGACCTGGGAAGAGGCAGTAATGCAGGTAAGACAGGCTGCTTGTGCTGATTCTCACCGCCCAGAGGTGAGCATGGTCCCCTCCTCTCCCATGCCTCTGGGCCTCAGGTGTCAGCAGCTCTGTACAGCTGTCCTGCCAGAAGGTGTTTATCTCTAAGTTGATCTTCATGTCTTACCTGGGAGTGGGCATCAACAGCACTGAGACAGGTGCCAGAACACACATTCCAGATGCGGATGTGTCTGTCGCTAGTCCCACCTCCAGTGGCCAGAACATTTGACTGCCACGGGCACCACGCCACAGCCTGAGAGAAAAGGGTTCATCTTAAGGCATGCAAGAGGCAGCCTGTGCACAGCCACTGCTGTGCACCTGCCTTGCACACAGGCATGTGCCAACAGCAGCCCTGCACTCACCTTGACAGCACCCTGGTGCTGAGTGAAGGTCTGTACAGGAGCAAAGTCTCCACTGTCCCCCTGGGTGCATGGCCAGATGTTCACAAGGTTGTCATTGCCACCACTAGCCAGGTAGCGACCATCTAGAGACCACTTGAGTCCACACACCTCCTGTGTGTGGCCAGCAAGTGTGGCCACATGGTGCTCAGCCACTCTGACATCATGGTGGTGGATGTGGCCAGTCCGTGCCCCACTGCAGAGAGAAGACTTGCAGCGTCAGGCTAGCTTTCATTAAAGACCATTTTTGTGCTGTTCCAAGACTGTTGGAGTGAGCAAAGCAGCCACAGGAGCTCTTCACAACTTCAGCACAAAGGGCAAGATAGAAGAGAGGCTTCCTCCCCACTGTCCTGACAGAACAGGCTGAGTAAGAAGAATCTCAAATCAGGACAGAAATTCCTCTCCGCCATCCCTAACCTGCGTCACTCGAATCTAGGATAGGAATCTGCAACAGCTGGATGCTGCTCTTCAACCATTGCTTTACCTGGAGAGGATGTAGCTGTTCCAGCTGAGGGACCCCACACGGGAAGAATGGCTGGTCATGTTTCGAAGACGTTTCTGCTGCTGTATGTCCCATAGCTAGAAAGGCAGAGCAAGAAATTTTCTGAAGGATGAGGAAACGGAGCTCTATTGCCTTGCCCAGGCACCTCACTGCACAGGCTCTGGCATTCAATCCCATCAGTATAGGGCAGAGAGAATTTCTGTCTCATGCCTACAGAGCAGAGGGCAACTCCAGGTGTCAGAAAAACCCCAAAACCAATCTGTGCCTTTCATGCTGCACTTGGTCACTGGCCATGGACATTTCCATGCCACACCAGTCAAGACAAGTCAGGATGCACCGCATCTTTCTTGTGCTAGCCAAGCCTTTGTCCTGAGGCTCCACAGCTCTGGCAATCCCTAGGCAGCAGCCCTAGTTTTACTCCTGCACTCACCTGGACCTCAGCATTACTTGTGCCAACAGCAAGGTAGTTTCCTTCTTTAATCCACGACACAGAAGAAACGTAATCATCTGGGTGCTCCATCTGCAGCAGCTGGATAATCTCACCAGTGGTGTGATTCCACAGATAGACAGAGTTGTCCAGAGCCACTGCCAGGAAGTTCTGAGAGCTCCAGTCAATGAGATTCAGATCTACAATTTGAAAGAGCAATGTAGTAAGCACTGTGCTTACTTGGAGAGCCCTGGCCTTCACCAGTGCCCCAATAGTCTTCTAGGTGTCACCATGCCCAGCTAGTGGGGTCAGATAGCCCTGATCCCAGTTACCTACACAGTACTCTGGACCACTGTTCCCTAAAAGACTACAGAGGGACGCTCCAGAAGTGATCCATACTGGTCTAGGTGCATTAGATACTGAAACAGGACCTGGAACCTTGCTCTAGTGCAGAATGATCTCAGTGCCGAGCACTCGATATTGCAGCCTACTTACAATAGTCATTGCGGATCTCTGGTGCATCCAGGATCCGGTCTGGCATTGAGGAAATGTATCTGCCATTCTTCCTGCTGGATCCAGGTGTCATTTTCTGACTGTAGAGCACTTTTAGGTTATTCTGATAGCCTGTGTACAGAGGAACAGAATTGTTAACCCGAGTTACTGTTTCTTCCCAGCTGAGCACTGCTCACCCATCTAGAAACCCCTTCCAGTAAAAATGAAATCCTGAGGGAAGACACCCTCAGAAGACTGCAGTGTGCTCATCACTGGCAGCATGAACTGCTGAACAGGGG